CGGCGCCCGCGGCGTGCCCGACGGCCCCCTCTCCGGTAAGGGCGGCCACGGCCACGGGCACCGGGCGCGGGCGAGCCGAGCCGAGCGCCACAGGAGCCGGGGAACAGACCCGCCTGCCTGCTTCCCTTCTGCTTTCCTGCTTCCCTTCTTGCTTGCTTGCTTTCCTGCTTACTTTCCTTCTTGCTTTCATGCTTTCCTTCTGTCTTGCTTGCTGGCTTTCCTGCTTACTTTCCTTCTGTCCTTCGTGCTTTCCTTCTTGCTGGCTTTCCTGCTTCCCTTCTTTCCTGCTTGCTGGCTTTCCTTCTTGCTTTCATGCTTTCCTTCTTTCTTGCCTGCTTGCTTGCTGGCTTTCCTCCTTTCCTTCCTTCTTTCCTGCCTGCTTGCTGGCTTTTTTTCCCCTGCCTGCTTTCGTGCTTTCCCCCCGGAGAGCCGCAGGCTGGGGCCGCGGCTGGACTCGATCTGGAGAGCTGATGCCCTTTTGGGCAGAGGGGGATCCCGCAGAGGCAGCCGGTAGTACTAGTGATCCTAACGGGGGAGAGATGGGAGATGGGTTCGCGTGGCAGAGCTTGCCCCTGCTAGGGACCTGGGGCATCTTTGTGGGGGTAACGAGGGTCTGTGGGGGGACGTGATCTCTTTTATTAGACCAACTAAGTAGTCGGAAAAATTGTTCTTTGCCAGCTTTTGGGCACGGGCGCCCTTCGTCAGGCAGAGACGCTGCTGGTGTTGTGTGCGCCTGGGTGCGTTTGCGGGGGGCTGAGTCTGCCTTGTGCCCACGGCTGATGCAAGCCTCTCTTGTCCGAGAGCCTGAGTCCGGTCAAAACTGTCTGGGAGGAGGGGGGATGAATGTGGTACCCGGGAGGTTTAATACCCTTAAGGTTTAAGAAGATTGTTCCAGTCCATCCTTCCCTTAAGCGGCAGGCAGAGCTCAGGGTCCACGTCTATTTTGGAAAAATCAATCCCGTCTGAACAGCTGTTTAGTCCGAAGGTGGCCCGGCTGTTCCCGATGCCTGGACTACGTGAAGACAGAGCTGCGAGGAGAGCGAGCCTTGAGTCTAGACCTGCTGGAGGAGCTCGGCTGCTGATTTCAGCGGCACCGGGTCAGCACGGGCTCTCGGTACCTGTCTAACTCTGACTGCGGGCACATCCGTAAGGAGCAGGTTAAACCTAACCCCGGAGCATGTTCACTTTGAAAGTGGCTGCTGCGAGT